GTTAATGGCTTGGGGATTTGGTGTGGTATAACACAGAGAGTTGGGGTATTGAGTGGCACCCATCACAGACTATATCCATGCTGGGCCCTCAGTTGTGAGGACCTGGCAGTTTTGACCACTGTGCTAGGCAGTCCTTAGGGCATATGAGAGTTCCTCTTTCTTTCACTTCAGTCCCTGATGGTGTCCTTGTGTCCTCTCCCCAGCACCTGCCCCTCTGGCCACAAGTGGACACTCAGGCTGCTTGGGGGTAGGGAATTTTTAGATGGCAGGGCCACCAATCCCAGGTGTCAGGGACTTGGTGACTTTGATTTCCTGTGGCAGCTGGGAGTCCCTGGCCTCCAACAGCTGTGCTGGAGGTGTGGGTGGATGGAGGCCTCACCCAGAGCACTCCACCCTGAGCTTTCTTCAGAGGTCTTGGGCTGGAAAGTGCCTTTGTTTCAGGATGGGCCCCTAATCTGGCCTGGCATGGGAGTTAAATTTTGTGGTCATTTGGAGATAGGGGTACTGTCCCTCTCTTTTTCTGATGACAGCAGCAGTGGTACCTGCAGCCAGCTGTGTGTTCTGGATACTGCCCCTGCTCTTTTTCAGGTCTCTGCCGCCACCACCCTCATGCCTCCCAGACTCCAGATTCCTCTCCGAGCTCTAATCTTCCCTTGGGCTTTCAGTTTTCCATTTCAGGCAACCCCTCCTTTCAGAGCGAGCTCTAATCTTCTTCCCTTGGGCTTTCAGTTTTCCATTTCAGGCAACCCCTCCTTTCAGATGGCTGTGAACCAGTGACCCCAGAGATCACAATCTCTGTGGAGGGGTGTCCTTACCATGAGGATTCTCCTGCTCTCTCTGCCACCCTTTTTCTGCCCATTCTGTCATCTTTTGGGGATGAGTCTTGATCCATGTTAGACCCCACCCTGCCGTTCACAGTTTTGGAAACCTCGAAGAAGCATTTTAGAAACTGATGTAATAACTTCTGACATTGGAGCTATATGTGGCCTGGGAGGGGAGGAGTAGTTTATTGGTGCCCCCCACTCTTTAAGGGGCCCTGCCAGTAGTGGGTGGGAGGGGCCGGCCCTGCTGCTGAGTCAGAGGGGGCCGGCCTAGGCGTCCTGGAGGGCGGGCAGGCGGGAGGCTCAGACAGGCAGCCTTGCCGGCAGGAATTCACAGAGCCAGGCACTGGAGCCACACTGCCCCTGAGCCTGTGCCCTTGTGCTTAGAACCGGAGCCTGCTTGCTTTCTTGCCAGTGGCCCCTGCCACATCCTGTGCCAAAGGAGCCTCATCAGCCTCCTGGCTGTGCCCTACCTCCTGCCCTTACTGTGCTGACCGGCAGACTTCCAGCAGCCATGGTGGCAGGCATGCTCATGCCACTGGACCAGCTACGGGCCATCTATGAGGTGCTCTTTCGTGAGGGAGTGATGGTGGCCAAGAAGGACCGGCGGCCCCGCAGCCTGCATCCCCATGTGCCTGGCGTCACCAATCTACAGGTCATGCGTGCCATGGCCTCACTGAGAGCTCGGGGCCTGGTGCGGGAGACCTTTGCCTGGCGCCACTTCTACTGGTACCTGACCAATGAGGGCATTGACCACCTACGCCAGTACCTACACCTGCCACCAGAGATCGTGCCTGCCTCTTTGCAGCGTGTGCGCCGCCCTGTTGCCATGGTGATGCCTGCACGTCGTCGCTCCCCCCATGTGCAGTCCATGCAAGGCCCCCTGAGCTGCCCACCAAAGCGGGGTCCCTTGCCAGCTGAGGACCCTGTCCGTGAGGAGCGAAAGGTCTATCGAAGGAAGGAGCCTGAGGAGGGGGCACCTGAAACTCCTGTGGTGTCTGCCACCACCCTGGGGACCCTGGCCAGGCCAGGCCGGGAGCCTGCCCCAGCCACAGGTCAGCTGCATTTCGGCTCCAGGCCGAGAGGGGTGGGAAGGGACAGTGGGTGTTTTTGGTGCTTGGGCTTAAGTCTGGTGGGCTCTGGTGGGCAGCATGAGGTATGTGAATGGGCTCTGCTCCTATCGGCAGGTGGCGCCCTTTCTGCCTGAGGCTGCTGGGTGTTCTAGCCAATGGACCCACGTGGCTTGTACTCCTCCAGGCAAATCCTGGTGGGGGCGGGGCCTGCAGGCCCTAAGACTGGCAGGACCAGCTGTTGGCATAGTCCTGTTTGTATCCCTCTCCGGTACTGTCCTTGCCCCCACCGGCCTCTTCTTTCCACCCCAGCAGCCTTTGGAGGCAACTCTTTTCAGAAGTGGGTGTGTGGAAGAGCTGCTGGCATGGGACTGGCCCAGGCAAACCACTTGTCCATTGGGGCTTGAGTCTGTCTTCTCCTATGGCCAAGTGGGCTCAGATTCTGTATCATATGAATAGTACAGAGGGTCCCCATGACTGGGTGCTTGGCCTGCTTGGAGTTGGCATGATCTGGAGGTGGAGTGGCTCTAGGGTTAGATGGGAAGAAAGGCAGAGGCCAGATAGCAGCATTGTCTAGGAGGGCAGAGGACAGGGCATGTGGGGGTGGGGGGGGCAGTGTTAGCTCAGCCTGTGGTCTAGGTAAGATCCCCCCTCCCCCTCTAAGAACCAGATCTTAGAGGATGGAACAAGACCCCATTAGCCCAGGGGCTCCCAGAAGCCACTCCCTCTATCCTTAAGCCCTTTTACCAACTGGACATGGGTAGGCTTATGTTCTCTGTGCATGAGGCTCATGCAGGCTCTCCAGGGACCATTGTCCTTTGTGCCTGCTAAGGCATCCCAGGACCCCCAACATTATCCATGTTATGCAGGCAGGCACCAGAACAGCCTGGTATCCGCCTTTCTCTATGTGGGGAGGAGCTTGTTCTCCAGGGGTGGGAAAGGGAGTCTAGAGTGAGGGATAGACCCTACATTGTGCACAGGTGCCTGAGCAGAAGCCTCAGTTCTGGCCTTTCTGGGTTGGACTTGTATGGCTTGTTGGAGTAATGAGTATACCTGGAAGGACCAGGGAAGTTGAAGGTAGACAATGGCCTCTGGGCTCTCTCCATGGCCTTAGGCAAATTGGTGGCCTTTCCTGATCCCTGTAACCATGGCTATGTCTTAGTCCTTTCCTTTTGGGTGTGGTGAGTGGGAGGGGAGCCTTCCCCTGCTTCTCTTGCCTTGCTTCCTTGTCCTCCTGTGGACTGGGCCAGCAGTTGGCAGCAGGGCTAGGAGGGGTTTTGGGTGTGGCTGTAGTGGGCAAAGAGGGGGGCAAGCTTCCCTCCCTTGTCTCTGATGGAGGTGACTCAGTCTTCCCAGCCACAACCGCCTGTGGCAATTCAGAGTTTCCAACAGGAAATAGGCTCCAGAGTGAGTCAGGGCCCCAGGCAGAGATTCTCCCCACACCCTCAGGACTGAGCTGTGGCCTTAGGTGCTGGGTGTGGCTGGTGACAGAGGCATTATAGCTCCACATATAGGCTGGGGCAGTTCTGATGCCACCTAAAACCATGGACTTCTTAGGGTTAAAATGCAGCAAGCCGTGTGCCACAAAGACTGTCACTTTCTATAGCATGGTCCCTCCAGTGGGTTATATATTAAATCTATTTGGCAACAGTGCTGGTCACCAGCATGGCCTCCGTTAGATGGGCTCCCTGTCCATATAACCCTGGCCAGTGAGCCAGAGACTTGGCAGGGTGAATTGGGAGTGCCCCCCATCTCTAATCAGCACATTCCTGTGGAGGGTGTCAGTATCTTGCAGTTTCAGATGAAGCCCCCGCCCCAGGTGAGGAGAATGTGGTAGGGGGTGACTTTAGGAGAAATCAGAGAGCTAAACCTGACAAGTGAGGAGAGGTTGGTCATCTAAGAGGCCTGCTGTGAGGAGGGAGGCAGCCAGACATTCAGACTTTTCCTTGTGTTGTAAAGTTGTTGGAGTGGTTTGTGTATGGGAATGTCATTTTAACTCCAAAAAATAGTGTTTTGCCTGGCTCAGAATTTGGAATTGATGCAGAAGTGTTTGGAGAAAAGATGTGTGAGCACTTTGAGGCTCTTAGAGAGATGACCTATAGTAGTCCACATGTGGGTCAGTTCCCCTCTTTTCCTGCCTACCTATGACAGATGCACCCTGCCATCCCCTGTGATCCTCCACGGTGTGTGGCATGCATAGGGGATGCTGCCGTGCCTTCCTCACAGCCACGTAGCCCCTGCTCATGTGGGCTGTGACTCTTGGCTGGTGCTAGTTGATACCAGGGTGCAGGAAGGAATCTGAAGAACTCTGGAAGGTTTTAACCAGGTTGTGGACAAATCAGGTTTGCATTTCCCAGTTATGCCCAGCTGGTGGAAGGAAATGTGGGCTCTTAGGAGATGTCATACTTACTCAGGCTAGAGGACTGACTGAGCTGGTTGTAGGGGACTTGGGCAAGAGAAGGGGCCATATTTGGGTTCTGAGGGAATGTAAGTGCCAAGGAGGAGTCGAGAAGGCCAGCAAGATGGCTCAGCAGACAAAGATGCTTGCTGACCAGTCTGATGGCCTGAATTCGAACCCTGGACCTACAGGGTGGAAGGAGGGAGGTGACTTCTCGGTTGTCCTCCATCCGATCTCTACATTCATGCTATGGCACACACACAACACACATACTCTCTCTAAGTAAATATATAAATGTAACTGAAAGAAAAACAAAAGTTGGGTGGAGACATCCAGCTTGCCCAGAGTGGTCAAGGTGTGCTCAAGTAGGCACAGGCAGGGCTGTGCACCAATTGTATCTGCATGGAGTGTGGGTGGGTGGGACCACAGGGCTCAGCTGGCAGAAGGAGGGGACATGGAGGAAATTAGAGCCCAAGGGGTAAATTGAGCTTTGTATGGCAAAGTCTGTAGGGAAGAACAGTGGATTGGGACCCCAGAGCTTAGGAACTAATCAGGTCTTTCCTCTGTACCCCTACATTGGTTGCTTAGGCTACCCACTGATCCCGTCCCCAGGCTTGGGCTCTGTTGGTGTGGTTGACTATGAAGACCCTTTAGTTACTCATGAGGAGGAGCTACTGCTGGGTGTGGAGGCTGGGGCATGAGCAAGCCCTCTCTTTGCTTCCCACCCCTTCCCTCCTTCCTGCCTTTCCTTCCTCTCTGCTGGTTCTGGGAGCAGCCTATCCTGGCCTGCAGCTATGGATAGGTACAGCATGGAGGAGCTGATCCAGCTGGGCCAAGGTAGGGTACAGCAGTAGTGGAGGCTTCAGGTAGAGCTAGAAGACAAGGAGGGACCAAAGTCTCTAGCTGAGGTTGGCTGTCTATGGCAGGGGGCAGGTCCCTGGGTGAGGTGGGGGGGTGGACTGGGTGCCCCTACTGGCAGTTCTCATGACCTCAGATACTAGGACTTAGGGATGGCATGACTCCTCACAGCTAGCTCAGGGTGTGTGGGATGTGGGTAGGGAGCCCAGGACAGGCTAAGGTAGAGGGGCTGCCCAGAGCCAGGGCTCTCTGCTTTGGGGGGCTATCACTGAGGCTGAGGAGACACTCTGCAGAGGTTTCTGAGCTCCTGCAGAACCCTGGTTGCCTATCTCTGTCCCTACCCACTGCTGGCCAGCAGGGGTCTCTTTGGCCTGCCCTTGGTATTTCCAGTCGTCCTCTCCCCACCCAGTCTATCCAATCTGTGACTGCCTAGAGCTGACTACCACAGGGTAGTTTTCTCCAGAAACAAGTTTCTGAAGTGTGATACAAGAGAGCAGAAGGCTGTGGTAGGCCCAGTGTGAACAGGGGGCCCTACCTCAGCAGTCAGGGTCCAAGACTGGTTGGCTGTGCTGTGTGGACAGTATGTTATGGAGTTACTTGACCTTGTGGAATCTCAGGCTCATCACTAGTGCCATGCCTCAGTGTCCTCAGCTGAATAGCGTTCTCACAGCCAAGACTTTATAGGATGTCCTCAAAGTGGAGCTTGACAAAGGAAGTGTTATACCTCAGCCGTTTGTCAGTCAGGACCCAAGGGCCTGGCCCAGTGTGCTCAGGCTCTTGAGAAGAGAGAGATGGGAGTATGTCTCCCCTCTGCACAGATACACGAACAGGTGCAGCTTGTTTCTCAGGAAGCACTGGGGGTCAGGTCAGTATTGCATATGCAGGATGTATTCTGGGCCTGCTTGCTGGCCTGTGAGGACATTGTGCCTCCCTGGACCAGGAATGCTGGGGGAGGCTTCCCCGTTATGTAATTCCCGGGGTACCAGGAGGAGAGACCTGTAGTGGGAGGTGCAGCCTGATGGGGCAGGTGAGAGAACGTTCCTGTGGCTTAGGCTCCAGTTTGGGGCTGTCTGGGTCTCTGGCTTGGAGTGTGACCTTGGAGAAGCAGTCCTGTCTGCCTCGGGGCCAGGTGTTGTGTCCAGTGACTTGTACAGAGCTCTCTGGGAGAAAAGGGACTGGCGCCTCTTTGGCCCATGTGGCATTTCCCAAGAGCACCCTACAAGTTGGGCAGGGCATGGGCAGCACCCTCTCCCAAGGGGACATGAGCCTGAGCCCTCCTCTCCTCCGTCCATGGTAAATCCAGGCACCTCCTTATTATAGTATCATCCATGGGAACTGGGGAGGGGAAGGGGGCTGGGGGGCTGAGTGTTGTGGGGCCGCCCAGCCAGATGGGACTCCAGAGAGCCTGGGCTCCATAGGTCATGTACTAAGTAGGGACAAGTGACGGGCCTTGCTTGCCCTCCTTGGATATTTATATCCCCTGGGCCCCCTGCCCACTGCGCCTCTCCCCTCCTCCAACTTCTGCTGACACGGCTGGAAAGCTGTGCCCTCCTCCAGCCTCAGCACAGCTGCTGCAGGCTTGCTGCCTCAGAGGGGCCTGTGACCCTCCCCACGCCCCCTGCCCGCTCCCTGTTCGCCCAGTGGGCTCCTGTTGCTGTCCCCAATGAAGATCGTGCCCGGTAGGTGGGGCAACCCTTCATTGTCTTTTGGGAACCCAGCTAGGCTGGAG